TACAGAGCAATAGGCACAATATTATGGTACAATATTATGTCTCTATGTTTGAGGCTTTTAAAGCCCTTCTTTCTTTCTTGATAAACCTCTTCCAGTGGGGCAGATCATAGTCATCTTAGCTATTCTTGGCATAGACAGCAATGAGTCTTTAAGCCATCAATCTGGCATCTGTCAAGAACAAAATCTCTACCAGTGTTTCTCAACCTTGACAATTTTAAGGCACGCGGACTTCCAGAATTCCACAGCCAACATTGCTGGCTGTGGAATTCTGGGAGTTGAAGTCCACATGCCTTAAAATTGTCAAGATCTTTGAACTCTTCCCAGTAGACTCTTAACCTAAGGAGCTGAAATTCTGAATGGATGGTATTCTAAGCTTTTCTGTGTTTTAAGTTTTATTTGTAGAAACATATTAGAACGAAGTGGTTTGTGTGAGATTGGATATGAAATTCTGAGTATGTTTTTGCTGTCAATGAGTGACCTTGAGCATGTTTAGCATTTATTCCTATCTTTCAAACAAAGGAAAATATGTTAAGGATATTACTTTTTAGCAAGTTTGTCTGCTTTTATAAATATTCTCATTAAGAAACTACTGATAAACTTGTTGCACTCAGAAGAACATATTTTGAAAACCACAATTACAGATTACCTTATTGCATTAAATATAATTGGTAAGTGTTATTTCAGGTCTGATGAAAGAATGTTAAGAGTATCAACAGTCATTTAAATAATTAAACAAAAAAGGCTCATGAGATTCTTTTCTGCATTGTTATTTATTGCTTTTGTTTTGCAAACTATGTTCTTATTTTATTTTATTTTTCTAATATAAAAAAGAGACACTGGACTGAAATGCATAACTATTTTATATTATAAAATTATGATAGAGTTTGGGCACTAAGTGCAATTCATCTATGGCAGGAATGTAAATAAATTTCATATCAAAACAAACAGGAGATTTACTACTCTCCCCATCTTCTGTGTAACACCTGCTTAGACTTTTAATGGAACTTTTTTTTTAAACTACACTCAAGTTTTTATTTCTCCAGGCCAAATATTTCCAATTCTTTCAGTTTCTCTTAAGAGGATGTAGTTTTTAATTCCCAAGTTACCCCCCTCCAGATTTTGCTATCGTTTTTAAGTGCAGGGATACACTCAAAACTGAATACAGATCTTGAAATGGGGGATGCCTAGTGTGGAATAAAGTGGAAGTACTACATTATAGTTTTGGAAACTATACCTTTGTGGATGTAGCCTAAAATTGGACTTAATGTTTCTACAGCCAGATGCTATTGACTAATGTTTGGTTGTTTTTTTATATAAATATTGTTGCTAAGCCACATTTCCAGTCTCTTTGATGCACTTGATTCTTGTTCCCTAACAGGACTTTGTAAAGATTGAAATGTTATTTCAGTCTTCTAGGCAGAGGTTCTCAAATACAGTGATCCAGCATAATGAATGAGTTTGCATAATCCAATACATGAATAAAACTAATTATTTCATTTGGGTTAGGATTGGGCAAGAAATAAAAATACTATTTATTTATAAAATAACTCATGTATCAAAAAAATGCTAGAACTTCACAACTTAGAAATCTGTCTCATTGGAGATTTAAAACTGTTTTTTTTTAATGTCCAGGATAAATTTGCTTATTTTTGAAGCTGAAACCAAGCAATTTAGATATTACCATATTTTCAAATAAAATAACACATTTTGATATTATTAATTTATGAGACAAAATACAAATCTAGGCAAAAACTTAATTCCTATACTGATTTTAGTTGGTATGTGGATCAGATGATTATGTTGTTATAACTTACTCTCTCCCCACTTTTAACTCAAGAAAGTCCCAAAAAAAGAATAGAAATGGATGGGTTTTTTTCCTGAACTTTTACTATCATAAACTTCTTCCTTTAAATCACCTGCTCTTAAATACTAACGCTTGCAAACCACTACAGCCTTTAAACTGGGTTTGGCACTCTTTCTCCATATTGTTGCAGTACCATAAAGTCACTGCATGATCATCTATTTCCTTTAGACTCTGATACTTGAAAATCTTGTCCCCTATTCTTGAACTTCCTCTTCCCTGTACTCTGATATCTGCCTCTTTTCTTCATTCATAATTTTAAGATGGGAATTGATGGTCCTGCTCAAGGCATGATTATTCTTCCTTAAAAAGTCAAACGTAGTGGAGGTGGGTAGGGAAAAAAGTGAAACCATAAAGAAAACAAAAAACAATCTTTATATAGGTTCTGGAAAAATAATATTATTTTTTTGCTTAGCAAAATTTTTCATTGAAGTGGTAAGCCTGCTCATGAGGAACTTCTGAGAAGACACGATATACAGGATTGAACCCTTGTTACACTCTATTCCTGAGTTCAGTTTGATCAGTTCATCTTGAAGCAGATCTGTTGATGTTAGAGCATGATTTTTGATTGTTCTATGTATTTACTTATTATGGTTACACTTAAGTAGCTGCTAATCAGAACAGCATGAGGCATTTCACCTGCCCCATTGCTGAAATATATTACAAAATATATTACATATGCAGCTCTGCTATAATCTACTAATGAAAAATTAGATATAGGTAATCTGGCAAGAGTAATGATTGATAAATCCAATGCATTTACCATACTTTTTTCAAGATGCTTCCAGATATTGTCTGTTTTACTTTTTTTTTTTTACAAACCATTTCATAAAAATATACTGTGGTTAAAAAAACCTAGGAAAATGTATTTAAGCTTTTCTTCTCCAAGATGTATCTTTTTTTAGGGGACATTTTATTTAATTTATAAAGAATTGCAATATGGAGGGAGAGGAAGCTTTTTATTCAGAACTTTAAAAAAAATATTAGATAATTAGATATAATACAAGGCTTTGCTTCAAAAAAGGGGCAATAGGAACATTTTTGGAGAGAGAGAAAAAGAAAGCCCACTTTGAAAAATAACCTTATTGGGGAAATTATTTGTATCCAGTCAAGATCAAAATAAGAACATTTCATCTAAACTGCAGGCAAATTCTAGAATTTAATAAATAGTTTGGGACTGAAGCCAATCTCAAAAGACTGGAAACTTGCATGGACTGCTTTTCAAAATTATGATCAACTCAGACTAAGAAATTCTTGCTAATGTTAGTGTACTATATCTCTCAGCTAAAATTATGTCCTGTTTATAAAGTTAATAAAGGAGCAAAACATCATATGTTAGGAGGTAAAGGTATCTGAGAGAGTGTGAGGGTGGCCTGGCATCTGTTCCCTAGGGCAGTGATGGCGAACCTTTTAGAGACCGAGTATCCAAAAACCAACCCCACCTACCCCTGTTCCGCTCTGCCCCTGCTCTGCCCCTAGCCCAGCCTTACCCGCCCGCAGGGCCACCCGCTGCCTCCATGGCCCGCTGCAGATCGCCCAGATGGCCCTGCAGCACCATGGTGGCCATGCCCTCTGCCTGCACCCCACAGCATCATCTGCGGACAATGGGGCACAAGGGCGGAGTCTTGTCCCTGCTGCCTGGCTGTCATGCCTTGGCTGCACTGCTCCATGTTGGCTGTGCTCAGGGGCGACTCTCCTCCGGGGGGCTGCTAGTGAGGAGGAGGCCATGGGGGAGCTGGGTCTGGGGCAATGGCATGAGTGCCCACAGAGAGGGCTCTGAGTGCCGCCTCTGGCATGCGTGCCATAGGTTTGCCACTACTGCCCTAGGGTTTCTTAGAGAGGCCATCACCACCAGGCCAATCCCCCATTCCATTGGACTGTCAAAATGATCAGTGCCATCAAATTCCTGCAAACACCAATTATCTATGCAGGAAGTCTAAAAATGACTAAAAACACAATTTCAATAGTTTTATTTTTTCATCTGCATATGAAAGTCACTTCTTACATGACTGCAGCCTGCCCCTATGTCTACCAAAGCAAACTGACATGTTTATGCCAATGCTACAAGGTTTCAATTTTATACATTTTGTATAAGGAGTCATATAAATGAATGAAAAAATGGTTTTAGTGTTATCCTTGGAGGAGGGGGTTACCATGTGCTTCTGTGTTGAAAGGAGTTGAAATATAGCTGCAATGGAAATGTTCACTAAGACTCACAAAATATTAAGAAAATGGAAAAATGGGGCAGTTTTATTATGGCAATTATTCCATTTACAAACCTACCTCCTTGGTTTGGCTGTGGGGCAGCTCATTGTAATAAAATGTAATAAGAACATTTCCCAACCAAGAAGCATTCTGTTGTTTTGTCCTCGTGGTGCTCTAAACCCTAATAAAACAAAATACGATACACTATTCCATTGAAATTAAGATAAAAATGCATTGTAGATAGAAATTAGCATGTGTTATGAACCCAGCCACCATGAAATTTTGTTGTACAAGTTTATTTTTTGCTTATATTACTACTATAATCATCATTATTACCATCATCCCTTGTACATGAAAAAGTATCCTAGCAATCTATTCTTATTAAGTTTCTACATATAGCCTAGTGATAATGTACTACAATCTTGAATATTACTATTATGGTGATAATTAATATTTCATAGGTGGAGATAGTAAGATTTCATCTCAGTGGATCGGCATTTCAAGGGTTTGAATATTCACCATGCACCTGTGCCTTTTATATCTTCAGGGGCCATTCTGCAGGTGTCTTGTTATTGCTCTCAAAAATCAAATGGAAATTTGGGCGGGACAATATCTTCCTCTGTGTTTCATAAAATAACAGGTCAAACTTGTTCATTAACAAGAGGAAGTGTATAATCAAGATGTTAATTCTGTGAGGCTTTGTGAATCTGAGAATTGCAAAATTTGGATGTGTCTTCTGTTTTGCTCCAGCTCTGCTGACCACATTAGTGAAACAGAGGTATGAGAATAAAAGAGAGGCAGAAGAAAAAAAAAAAATAACCACACAGTTAATCCCATGCAGCTCTGCTAAATAGTTGTGGGCGTGTAGGTCTTCCTTTAAAACTTGCTTTTAAGGACTTCATTCTAATTTTTCTGTTTGCTTTTCCCAATCTAGAAAGTTCAGAGAGAAGGCACATCAGAAGTGAAATGGGGACTGAGCGGGCCCTTGTCCTGGACCGCTTAGCAAGCAATGTTGCCAAACGAAAACGTTCCATGCCACAGAAATTTATTGGTAAGGATGTTTTTTAATGGACTCTCTTTTGGGTATAGTCATTAAAAGTAATGGAAATATGACATGGTTCTTCTTCTTATGAACGAATTCATAAACTTGCATTTGTTAGGCAACTGTAATGTATCAAATAAGGAAGAGACATTACTGTATTTCCTTCTTCCCTCTTTACAATGACATGAATGGATTTATGTGTATCCCAGGCCTCTGAAATATAAAGCGCAGAGATTTCTGGATGATATATGACTCTTTCAAACCACAAAGCATTAGACTGAGAATTGTCACTGATTTCAAAGTATGTCAACTCATCAAGTATGTCAACTAATCAATACAAAAAGATCCTGTTACCAAAGTATATGCAGCTACTTCAAGGCAAATAGTTCTATCTCCTTTATCTTATATGGGGAGGCATTCATTCTTCCTCCATGAAATAGACATTATAATAAATATTTTTAGCAAAATTGGTTTAAGCCGATTTCATTGATAAATATTTGTGAATTTTCAAAAGCTGAGCAATAAGTCTTTTGAAATATAGGATAAACTGCCCCAAAAGTAAAACATCTCATTCTTTACCATTGTCAGAGAGCAAGATGAAGCAGTGTTAAAAGTAAAGTTAATGCAGAGACATTCTGTTTATTGATTAAGAATCATTTTCTATTATTTACTAATTAGATAAACTGAATATTGATTCAGTAGGGAATTTTTTAAAATAAATATTATGATTGTTAGGTCACATCAGTTGTTTGTACAATGAAAACCTATTGATTAGCACAATTGTTTATAATAAAATAATATTGTCAGTATACTGGCTTTTAAAATATGTTTATTTTAATGCAAGATATTTTAGGCATCTGATAATTATATTGGGAGAATTTTAATGAGGGTATGATTTGTTGAACTATAACTGAAATAATTTGTTGAAAAAGAGAAAAAAGGCAAAAAAACTAAAGAAGAAATATATATTTTTTTGCTTTTTAATTTCTAGGATTTGTAATATTTCCTAAGAATTTTATATTATCAAATATGAAATAAATTTAATATATAATTCATAATAACCACACCATAAGAAAGAAAAACTATTTTTAATTATGCAGGCTATTTAAAATTAAATATATTTCTCAACTGGAAAAATTGGGTGGTTATTTAATTTCTCAGCTTTTTACCCAACTTGATAGGAGCCTATTAAATATTCTCAGTGTGGATTTTAGTACAATGTTAAAGGCTTTGGCTATTTGTTTGGGTAGTTTTTGGTAGCAACTTCATTTAAATTTTGAAGATTCATAAAAACCCACTGAATCACAGGCATACATCTTCCAGAGTTTGATTTAAATGACATAATATAAATCTTTACGCACTAGCCCTTAGAACTAGATGGAGTTTTCTACCTTTAATCTCTGATTTTGTGTATCATTCTATTTCCAGTCAGAATAGAAGGAAACTGTCAGAATCTAATTATATTTCATTTCTATCTAACTACTCTGATAAAAAACCAATTCTTACTCTCTTCTGGATTCTGTCATATTACGGAAGGGGAGGAGGGTAAGCATGGGGCTTTTATGACTCCCACTTCCTTCATTAACTACAAAGTGACCGGATGTTGACTCTCTTCAAAAGGACTAACCATAACAATGTGGCCATCGCTTTTCATCCTACTCTCTCTGAAGTCCTCCCCTTTGCCGGCAGTGAGGGAAAGGGAGGGGGAATGCAACGCCTGGGGTCTGGGAAAAGAGAGGATGAGTGATCATGCCGATGGAGCGGACTGACGGATTGAATTGCCCGGAAGAACTGTGGGATGGGGGCTGTTTGGGAACACTTTAAAACATTGAATGGTGGGAGAGGATACCCCAGATCCTGTCTAGCATGCCTGCAATCAGTTTCTCTTAATAAAGATTCCTGTTGGAAGAGACATTCCAAGAGTTTTGTCTTCTTAAGATGTAAAGTGAGGTGGGTCCTTACAGAAACATTGTTTTCTTAAGATACAAACATGTCCAAAACTTTTCTTCCCTGCTCCCCACCCCCAAATTAAGCCCACCACAATTATATAAAGAGCTCTATAATACTATATATTTATCTAAAGATCTTACAACTATAATTCCTTTTTACTGTTTCTGTCTTTGTCATTGAACTAAAAAAAAGTTGACCTAATATTTTTCCTCTGACTTTGCAAAAATGAAGGGGGAACAATTGTTCCTCTTAACCGCAAAGACCTCCCTCAGTTATTTACATCAAAAGCTATGCAAAACTGTTTGGTAGTGCCATATATTAAACTTCAGACATGGTTCTGTGTAAGAATGTGTTTATCAGAGTGTATTTGCAGTGACACAGATTTTCTGCTGTGCAAGCTTCATTGCAAATATTGGAGATGAATCCAAAATGTGATAGTTGCAGAAAAAGCACATTATTTTTGTTGTACTTGGAGAACTGAAGAGATCCAAAGTTTGACTCAGCATTACAGGTTTTAATGTTCTATACTTAATAACTCTGCTTCCAGCAGAGGTCAATAAATCAAAGCATTTGGAGGTAGAATACTAGATCAGGAGAACCCACGTACAAACCCTTGATCTGCTATGAACTTCATGTTGTGAGAATAAAATACAGAGAACCACTGCATCTTGAGGAATAATAGGTATAGAGGGATGGGTGCAGCAATGCTGTATTTTAAACCAGTGATAATGTGTGTTTTACTGTGGCAGGTTACAAGTACAGAGCCTATAAGGTAATAAAGGTGATCCTTGATTTACCACAGTTCGTTTAGTGACTGTTCAAGTTAAAATTGCACTGAAAACAGTGACTTACGATAGTTTTTCACAGTTTGGATCTTTGCAGCGTCCCCATTATCATGTGATCAAAATTCAGATGTTTGGCAACTGGTTCATGTTTATGACCATTGCTGTGTCTCAAAGTCATGTGATCACCTTTTGCAACCTTCTGACAAGTGAAGACAATGTGGAAGCCAGATTCACTTAACAGCTGTGTTACTAACTTATCAACTGCAGTGATTCTGCAGTGAGGCAAATTCTAATAAGTGAGGCAAGGAAGGCTGCAAAATGGGCCCAAAAATGGCAAAACTCGCTTAACAAATATCTCATTTACCACCATAAATTTTGGGCTCAGTTGTGGCTGTAAGTTGAGAACTACCTGTACTGTGTACCTCTCTAGCTGGCCTGCTGTCACCTGAATGCTGAAGCAACATGATTCCTAGCTTTTTATTGAATGCATTTTAATTTACATCTGATTGCATTATTTTTCTTTTATTGCATCATTTTCTTTTCTATTATGTGCAAAATTTAATAATATAATTTATCAATGTTCTTCTTTATCAATCTTCCAGTTGATAAAGAAGAACATATAGTGGCCTAGACATTGCTAGTCATCTTGTCTATTGAGCAGAAATGTCACAAATCTATTTAATAGAATCTAATCTGGTGATCTAAGTAACTTCTATGAAAGGAAGATCATTTTAAACCTGTTTTCTATTTTTCCCACTGCACCTATCAGCGTATGCTGGTCCTTGTAAACATCAAATTTTTGATTTACAGTCAGTATAAAAACAAGATAAGATATCTGTAAAGACTACAAAGCCAACTTCCTTCTTGGTGTAATTATCCTAAAGAGTTTTTATAAAATAAGATAAAGACTAATATAAATTAATATAAAGTGAGAAAAAGAAAAGTAGAAAAAAAATCAAAGACAAAACTAAAAATAAAAGAAAATAAATAAAGAGAAAAATAGAAAAATATGAAAATAAACCATACAAAAAAGTAGCTTCTGATTTTCTTCACAGCAGTTATAAGTATAACATGAATTTTGCTCTTACTTTAAGATTACAACATAGTTGTCTTCTTTCTATAATTTATTCTGTCTAATCATCAAAACCATACATCACAAGTTCATTTTTTCTCTTTCGTGCAAGGAAGTCCATAAGGGGTTTCCAATTAGCAATAAACATAAATATTATCTTTTCTCTGATCAAATAAATGAATTTGTTCATCTCAGCTACTTCCTTCATCTTCTCCATCCATTCCTCCATTGTGGCTGGTGTCAAATCTTTTCATTTATGTGCATACAATACTGTAATCTTGCTGCAATTCTAATGTACCAAAACAAAGTTCCATGACTTTTTTCCCAAGTGTTTGTTCATTAATCTTGAAAGAAGAACCTCTGGTCTCAATTGTACATTAATGTTTAAAATCCTGTGAATTAGTGTATATATCTGAATCCAGAATTTTTTAGCTTTTTTACAGGTCTACCAAAATGTAAAATATCTATTCTTGTTTGTATTTCCAGCATAGGTTTGGAATGCCTTTAAACATTCTAGACAATTTCTCTGCTGATATATACTAATGATACATCATTTTATAAAAATTCTCTTTAAGATTATAACATAATGTTAATTTCAATCCTTTCAGCCATATATTTTCCATTGCTACAGCTGCATATTATAACCCAAAAAATTAAGGCCACTTTCTCATGTTCATCTGTTTTCTTCTATTTCAAGTTTCAATAAAAATGTTATACATTTTAGCAATTACATGTACACAATTCTATTTCAAGGTCAGTCTTACAATCTTCAAAATCATAAACTCTTTTATTTACTTTAAATCTTTTTAATAATTGCAAATCAGGAAACTATTGAAAACTATATCCCTCTGCCACCAGTTCTTTTCTTGATTTTATATTATATTTCTCTTGTCCAGATTCTAGTATCTTGTGATAAGTTAGCATTTGCCTATTATCTCTTTATAAAATGCCTCTTGTGCTGACAGTCACAAAGGTATTTTCAGGCACAACCTGAATCTCCATATTCCATATTCTCAATATTGTGCATCCAATATAATAGTTTTAAAAATCCCTATTAACCTTGACTTTATTGTGTCACAAATATTCATGCCACTCACATCTTAGGTCGTATACTTCTATTTCTCATCCAGATAAAAAGCAAGCTATGAAATACAATCTCAAATCAGGTCTGCCAATCCTCCTTTCTCCTTTGCATCTTATAA